CTGCTCGTGTTCTCATCGCCCCTGCTCGTGTTCTCATCAGCGTCTCTGCTCGTGTTCTCATCGTCCCTGCTCGTGTTCTCATCGCCCCTCTGTGCTGCTTGCTCGTGTTCTCATCGTCCCTGCTCGTGTTCTCATCGCCCCTGCTCGTGTTCTCATCGTCCCTGCCCGTGTTCTCATCAGCATCTCTGCCAGGGCCTCATCGCCCTCCCGGCCAACAATCCCTTCCCAACATCCCAGCTGAATCCCGGGAAAAAAAACCGCAGGGAGCCGATTTTTTTTGGGGGGGAGAGCAGAGGGAAGGAGGTACTTACTGATGGCGGGGGCGATGCCCCCGACGGAGCCCGGCCCGGGGATGTTGCCGGCCACGGCGGCGGCCTGGGCGGCGGCGGCGGCCTGGGCGGTGGCTGCTTGTTGCTGCATCTGGCGGTGGCACTGCCGCAGGTCGAACACCTGCCAGGGGGGGAAACAGGGAATGGCTGAGAGGGGGCAGGACTGATGGAGCCAGCTGATTAGAAAAGATCCTTTTATAGAGGCATGTAAAGTTAAAAAGGAAAAACCTCAAGGTAAATAGATGATAATATAGATAATATAGATAATGCTGGTCTAGTCAGTAGAAACATCAGCAACCGACAGGCCTGAAGGTGCCAGGTTTCAGCGTTATCTCTGCGATCACTAATCACCATCTACCGTTAATTAACGCTCAGGAACCCCTGCCCTCATCCTAGAGAGGTTGGTGGGGTTTCTCTCACCTTCACCGAGCAACTTCAACCAGCAATTAAAAAAACCACCAACCCCCACCACCACAAGCTCCGAGCAGTTTAACACCAGACCCGTTATTTTTTGTTTGTTTGTTTGTTTGATGAGCCCAAAATGAAAAGTTTAAAATCTGCTTCTGCCCCAGCGAGAAATTCATCAGAATGTTTTGTTTCTGTAGAGCTCTCCCCCCAATCTACGGATCGCTTCCGCGGATTTGACTGATTTTATACTTATTTTATGCCTTGTTTCGGGGGAAAAGAAACCGCCAGAACGTCGTTAAAAAAACAAAATCCTGGCAGTTAATTTTAATCAGAACACAAACAGTCGCTGCTGATGAAAAACACCCAACGAGCGCTCCTCGATTTTCACGGCGAAACGCTCGGGAGCTCGACACACCCACCCCAAAAAAATCATCAGCACTGCAGGCCCCACCTTGATGTAGGCGCTGGGGTAGATCTTGTGCACGGCGTCGCCCGGGGCGCGCCCCGCCTCCCGGTCCAGGTAGTAGCTCTGCACGAACACGGCGTGGTCGCTCAGGCACCGCACCCACACGTCGCCTTCCCCCTTGCACTCCAGCTGCACCCCCTTGCCTATGTGCAACCTGCAGGGAGAGGGAGGGATTGGCAATGAGGGAATCCCCCCAGCTGATGGTTCGGGCGGTAATCAGCGCTTATCTACGGAATTACCTCGCTCTCTCGATGGCCTCTGTTCGGTGCACGTTGGACAGCTGGCCCAGGCAGAAGCGGTCACCCCCCGAGGGATCGACGTAACCGTCCACGGTGACGATGGGGCAGCTGGAAGGGACCTTGAACGTCTCCCCCACCTGCACGTCCATCTCGAAGTAGGCGATGGAACACCAGTACTCCGGAGCTGGAGCAGTCGCAATCAGAAAAGAAAATCCCGGAATTACGGGCTCGTTCGGGGGCTGGATGGGAGCTTAAAGCTCATCCCATTCCCACCCCCCCCTTCCACCAGCCTTCCACCAAGGTTTGTCCTTTAATCAGTAAAAAAAGGGTGGGAGAGGTACTAAAAGCAGCGAAACGCAATTTAGCTCCACGTTGAGTTCAGACTATCAGCGATTTACTCACCGGGATGATTGGAGATGGGAGGTTGGAATGCGAGCTCGTTGTGAACCGGCCCTTTGGGAAAAGAAAAACAAATAAAAAGGGGAAAAAATTTACAAATAAAAGGGAAAAAAAGAAGAAACTTTCTGATGGAAAAAAAAAACCCAGAGAACTCATTTTCTAAAGGGAAAAAAAAGTGTCGGTACGAGTCAGATTCTCCTCCTCTCTGCGCTTTGGGAACTGACCAGGTGCCTTAGAGGCAGCAGGGAGGAAGCACTCCGAGGTAGTTTATCAGAAGTAAGCACAACGAGCCATCAGAAGGCGCGAAACGCCGAAACCGGAGGGCACCTCTATCAGAACGGACTATCAGCACATGTATTTTATATTCTGATAAGGGGGAGAGCCTGACCAACCCCTCCCCCCCGAGGAGCTTACAGTAGTGGCCGGGGTGCATGGGCGGGTGGTGCTGCAGGTGGCCGTTCTGATGGTGCGGGATGGTGGGCGTGTAAGCGGCCGTCCGGCTGCCGGTCCAGGTCGTGGTGCTATCTACAGGGAAAAAGAGAGAGACAAGAAAGAGAGAGAGAGCAGCAGGGGGTTGGTTTTTTAAGGGATCTCCCCCTTCCTGATGCCTCTGTTTGTCCTGAACGTTCGGGAACTGATTATTTTAGAGAGAGAGAGAGAGAGAACGACGCCGGTGAAATACTCACTGTGGTGGTAAGTTGCTGGTTGGGCCGCAAAGCCATTCTGCTGAGCTCCTGGCTGAGGCCCTGCAGCAATCTGTAAGAGGCCATCACTATGGCTACCTGTCAATAGACTGGTAGGTTGACCTGGTGAAAGAACACACTCCCTTATTCGTGAGCGTTCCGGGAAAACACCGGCGGCGACCCGAGAGGGGCTCTGCTGATAGTTTGGTGGTTCGCCTTGCCACCCGCCACCTGCGGCCAAAACCACCCTGCTTGGGGTTAATTTTTGACTCCTCGGGGTCAGAAAGAAGAAGAGGCGCCAGGAGATTTACTGGGTTTAACAGTAGCTGCTTAATCAGCACGTTTGAACCGCTCTCCCTAAGGAGGACACTCTCCTCCAAAGCAGGATTTGATTTTTTCTGATTATATTTTTAATCACCGGACTCCTTCCTCAGAAAGCTGCTGAGTTGTCTTTTTGTTTGTTTGTTTGTTTGTTTTCTCTCTCCCCCAAATCAACATCGGATTTAACCTCAAACAGGCTTCAGCTCAGCTCACTAAATCAATCAGCAAGGTTTCACCAGCACTCTGGCGGCTCTCAAACAATTTACACCCCGAGAACTCGAACTAAAAGCTACAAATGAGCGCGAGCTACGACGATCTTACTTGTGGAGGCCACGGGAATGTTGGGGAAGTTGGTGGTGCTGGTGGTGCTGGCCTCGCTGGGGGCCAGCAGGGCCCCCGGGGCGCTGTAGGGCTCCGTCGATGGCCGGTTGCTGGGCGGGTGCTGGATGGTCTGCACGGAGTGACCCTCGGCCGAGCTGAGCGACGGCTGCCCCTCGTAGTCGTGGACGTACTCGTCCTTCACCAGCATGCTGGAGGGAGCTGGGGGGGCAACACAAAAACAATCTTCAAGCCATTAGTGCCAACAGCACCAACAAACAGCAGGGCAGGGGGGGGTAATTTGGAGGAATCTACCACAGGCGGTAGATTTCAACAGCGTTTCGCCTCGTGGCTGATAAAACCACCCCTTTTTGTCAGTGAACGCTGAGGCAGCAGCTGATGAGCCCCATCCTTAAGTGCAGGAGCAAGAACACGCATAAAGCCCCCCCAACCCGTGAAAAACGTAATTCATCAGCACAGCAGTAATTTTGTAAGCAACTCCCACCCGAGGATCGAGTGGAAACGTTAAATCGGCGCTCGAAGAGCCCACGAAGCTACTCTGTAATTTATTATTTTCCTCTTCAGCTACTAGTTAAACTGTAAGCATTTGTTACTATTCCCAGTTCCATTAGCTGATATTCCACTCATTAACATTCCACAGGTGCACGCAGCTTTTTTTTGTATTAATCAGCAGCAATCAGCACTGAGGTCTCTGGGGGGTTTTTTTGGGGTGTTTTTTTTTTTGGCTTTTATAACGTGAAAAGAGAACGCCGAAGCCTCCGCTCGAGGAATTCATCAGCACCTGCCTTCCACGTGCTACCTGGGCAATTTACAGAGTAATTCTGATACTCTGATAAACCCAGGGGGGGACAAAGGCATGAGAGAGACACAGGAACAAAACCCTGCGGGGTGTGACGCGGCCTGAGCCCGCAGAAACGCATCATCAGCAGCAATCAGAACTACTCACCAGAACTCTGTAGTGTCAGCCCTGATAGATCTTTAAAAAAAAAAAACAAAAAAAAGGGGGTTATGGAGGGTTAAACACAAAAATCTTCAAGCCTCCTGTTGTAGATGAAACCGAGGGCCAACTTACCGATGCCGGGCGATACCACCCGCTCATAATGGTACGGGTTGACGCAGACGCTGTCGCACTTGAGGTCGAAGGCGTACTGGCAGTATTTCACGTGCTTGAGCTCGTTCTTGTGCAGGTCGGGCCACCGCCAGAGCCGGGCGTAGATGACGTGGGGGAACCCCTTGCGACCGGCCACCTGAAAGGGGAAATAATCGACGGGAGTCGGGAGCTGATTGCTCTGGTTCGCTCCGGGTAGTCGGCGGAGAAGGAGAAAGTTGGGAGGGGGGTGAATGTCCCCCAAAATATTGACATTTATAGGTTTTAAAACAAAAAAGGGACTAAGTAAATAAATAAATAAATAAATAAATAAATAAATAAATGTCGGTGATTCTTGAGTTTAAAAAAAAAACAACAAGCAAACAAACAAAAAAAAAACCCAAACAAAAATAAAAGGGGGCGTGAAGGAGCCTCGCCCCAGACGAGGAGGAAAACCGGAGGGAATTATTTACAATTTACAATTAGAACGTCAATCGTTGTGCTGATGGGAAGGGAATTTACAATTTACGAGCGGAACATCAATTGTTCTGCTGATGGAAAGGTTTGTTTTCTTTTTTCCAACCTGAAGCCTCCCATCCAGCGTCCTCTGGATGGTCACGCACTTGCTGGGGTGGGCGCCGTTGGTGGTGATGGCCGTGATCAGCGAGTCCAACTCGTCCTTCTTCTCCTTCAGCTTCTTGACCAGGCTCTCGATGGCGCGCTTGGCGAAGGTCTCGCTCTCCCCGCCCTGTCGATGGCACATCAAGCTGTGGACGATGCTCAGGCAGGCGTCGTTGCTTGTCGGCGTGTTGGTAATAGACATATTGTCCATTTGTCACAGCTTGGTTGGTTTGTTTTCCTCTCAGATCAAACAGTTTCTGATGGGGGGAGGTGTTATGACTGATGAACGAGAGTTAAACTGTCCTCTTGGTAAAACCTAGGAGGAAAAAAATTAATCTACGTTAGAATTGTTGGGTTGTTTTTAACAAAAATATATCTACGTTAGAATTGTTTGTTTGATTGTTTTTAACAAAAATATATCTACGTTAGAATTGTTTGTTTGTTTGTTTTTAACAGAAATATATCTACGTTAGAATTGTTTGTTGTTTTGTTAACAAACTGTAGATTGTGTTTTCTAAACCCGTGGCTCTTTGTTTTGCCTCTTGTCTTGTCTTTTTCAAGCCAAGCGCTGATTATTTGAATAAGGATCTTATTAAGAGTCACAATATTTAAATAAAGGCGGTAGTTTATATCCACGTGGGAAGGGAAGGATCATGAACTCAATCAGCAGCAGCAGGAGGAGGGTGAAGATGATTCCCTGTGTTTTATACCAAGTGAAAGCACCGATGGCTAATCGAGGGGCGCTGATTCAAACGCGGTGAACGCACACCAGAACCATCTGCCGCCTTTATTTACCAGCCCTGCCCACAGTTCCGGCCGCGATTACTCCCCCGATTTACAAATCTGCCGGCTAAAACGGGGCGGAACATCGTAGATACTCAGTAGTAATCACCAGTAAATGGCCCGATAAAGCGATTAGCCCCAAAGAGCTTAAAATCAGACACGTGGCTCTATCTACCATGAATGAGAGAGGAAAGTTATCGACGTTTAATCGGAACCGAGTTGTCTAAATTCTGATATTAACTTATAACAACCGGGAAAGCCGATCCGGGGCCATCAGCAGCTCCTTGACAGCCGGGCAGGGGAAAAACAAGCAAACAAACAAAAGAGGAAAAAAGGAGAAGCAAGTCTGGCAGGTCAGCTCAGATTGCTGATTGAAGGTTGGACTTGATGATCTCGGAGGTCTCTTTTTGCTGTTTAATAACGCAAAGGGGGCGGGAGTTTCATGATAAAGGGGAGGGGGAAAAAATATAATCTACAAACCGATAAAACAAGAGGCAGCCCGCGATTTGCTGGGGATACAAATAACTGATTAAACTGCAGATACTTTTTCCAGCACATTAGGCTATTATCGGCTTGCCCGGGGGGGTGGGGGTGAGCGGGAACGAAGTGTTTGCAGACGGAAGAACAATCAGCATTAAGGAGCGCTGAGAAGGAAAAAAAAAAGGGAAAAAAGGAATAAAAAAAAAAAAAGGAATAAAAAAAACTCGCGTGGAAAATTCCACGCCCCTAAAATCTCTCAGCACACCTTTGTTCTCCACCCAAGCTGCTGATTGCTCCCCCAAAACTCGCGGGATGCCAAGAGGCACCGCCGAGAGAGAGAGGGGGGTGGAGAAGGAAACTCCGCTCGTCGTGGAAAACAAAGTTTCCCGCAGCGGTAGGAAACGGCCGGGGAGAGCGCGGCCCACGGAGCGCACAGCCCACGGACCCCACGGACTGCAAACCCCACGGATTGCACAGCCCACGGACCCCACGGACTGCAAACCCCACGGATTGCACAGCCCACGGACCCCACGGACTGCAAACCCCACGGATTGCACAGCTCACGGACCCCACAGCCTGCAAACCCCACGGGCCGCACAGACCCCACAGACCCCACGGACCCCACGGACCGCACAGAGCCCACAGACCGCACAGCCCATGGACCGCACAC